ATTCGTTCAAGTGACAATTTGACTTATTTATTTACAAAAGCACTACCAACATCTACATTCAAGAAATTGGTTCACGGGATTGGAATGCGTTGATTCAAAGATTTTCAGTGATCAACATTAGGGGGAGTAGCTGTACTCTTTTTCCTTGTTTAGGTTTTATCCCACTGGGTTTTCCTGACAAGGTTTTAATGAGACAGCATTTATTTTTAATACTTCAAAATCACTGTACTCTTTTTCTTTCGTTTTGATTTTTTTTGTCTCATTGTGTTTTTATCAAACTGGGTTTTAACGAGGCAAATATTTTGTAATGTATCATTCAAGGGGCGTGTTGTAAAAGGAAAGTAAATTAGGGTTTAGTGTGAATGACACTTGTACCCTTGCACCCTAAATGTAATTACTATATGTATCCATATTCCTTCCCTATAAATGTAGGGTTTTGGTTCTCATTATAATACACACAAGTCTATTGATTTATCTTATTCTCTGTTTTTATAACTATATATATATACACACACAAACACAACACAAATTCTAACTCTCAATAGGACTTCCTAATAGAATTTCAACTAGAATTTGTCAAATAAACTTCAAATAGGATTCCAAATAAATTTTTTCTTAAGTCGACTTTAATTATAACTCCAAATTATCTTTAAAGTAAAATTAGGATCATACACTAATTCTAATAAACTTCACCTTGACACAAATTTCACTGTTATTAACAAGCTTCAAAGATTCTCCACCCCGAAGACAAATTCAACTACAAAGAATAAACTTAAATTCTTTAAAGAAAAACACAAACGAACTTCTCCATTAAAAAATTTCAATTGGAAATATTCTCCGCCTCTACTACATCAACGAGAGGCAAAAAGTGATCTAATGACCACAAAAAAGGTTGAAACAAGCTGTGAAATAGAATCACAATTGGATGCATCAAAAGAAGGATCTCAGCTAGAATCAACACCTTTAACCTCATGCAAATTATCAGCTAAATCAACAGAATTGTACCTATGTGGAGTCTGGATAAAAATGGGTATGTTATTAGTAACTGAATACAATGACGCCGCCGATAATGGTGGCAGACGGATTCACCCATAACTTCTAAATTCAACTGAGATGTATTCTTAAAAAAAAAAAAATCCCGAACTAGATTCCAATGGTATAGAATCCAACATCAATTCCACCTGAATTCTTAAAATATTCTAATTGGTCAACGATTTTATATAACATTGCAAGATATATAAATGAGATTTTCTATATCGCTTTAACAAAATATGGACTCCTTTACTAAGCTTCAGGACTCCACATTCAACAGTGCACCTGTACTTTTGAATTAAGAGTACTTAAGGAGATAAAATTTCTCTTTAGATCTAGAACATATCTCACTGCATCAAGTGTTCTAACCGTCCTATCAAATAATTTTATTCTAACTCGATCAACACTATCTATCCAACAATGTGTATTATTTCAATTACTACAATGCCTTTTGAAAATATTTCACATGTTGAAAATGAATCTTGATTGAGATACATTTTAAAAATGCAAGCTATATCAATAATTTAATCCTTGTTAGGTTTGGAGTAGTAGACAGGAATAAGCAAAAGTTCTCCATCACCGTGATAAGTTTCAACAATAGTTTTACCTGAAGTATATAATTTATTTCCCTTCTCAAAAGCTACAGCCAAATCTTTTGTATTCTGCAACTTATTGCAACTTAATTAAGTGCCCTGAATTCTTGCAATAAATTTTAAGGTTAGACCTTAATTATATGCTTCATCTTCTCATTTGAAATAGAGCATCATAGGCTTCTTCAATGGTGAGGTCATGACTATATAAGATCATTTGAGGCAAAAGAGATTTATGTGGTGGAAAGGGAAGGGGACATGCTTGCATTAGGTGTCACAGAGAAGGACACAAGCAAACATGAAAATTTGAAGTTCAAGAATTCAATCATGCTTAAGCTAGATTCACAGTTAGGTGGATTTTTGTTAGAAGCATCATCCGAGGAAGATTTCACTGGAATGATAGGACAATCTATAGTACTAAGGCTTCGTGGACTTGGCTCAAAAAGGATAGGTCTAATTAGGCTTGGATCTACTACATCAGCAATTGCATCTTATCGCAATCTTGGAGAAACTCTTGGTGGATCAGCTAAGACTACTAGGTCGAATAAAATTGCAATCATACTTTCTTCTTTTGATTGGCTTTCTGAAGAATCAAAACTAGCCACTACTATAGCAATAGCTACCGGTACTATTTTCTTTGTTTCTTTCCTTTTATTTGACCGTCGCGTGAAGTGAACATGTTGGAATGTTCTATGATGTACAATCCAAAAGGAGCTGTGTTGGGGACTTACAAAGATAATAGGTTCAAATTATAATCGAAGAAATCAACTCTCAAATTTGTGGAAATTCATGGTCTTGGAACTGGATAGATACAAAACTCAAAATTATAGAAGTTGTGTGTTCTTGGATAATATTTGGAAAACAGCTTGTAAATGCACCTGCTAATGTGCTCACCCCTGGTTAGTAATCTTTCAAATTGTCTTATATATTTTTCCTATTAAGTTTTGCATTACTATACAAAGGTTAATATTCTGCAAATTGTTAAAGTAAGCAGGAACTCTCTTCTTATATGTCTGTTTCAACGATATATTTCCTTTGTTGCATTGGTAAGGCAAAATTCAACTTATCTATTTTAACTTTGGTTTCATGGATATATTAGGAATATGAGGATTGCTTCTGAGTACAGTGATGTTTTTACTGCAACAATTTTGGATGTGGAGCAGTGCAAACAATTGAAAATGGGTTCTTATCTTGATGTTGCTGCTGCATCTGCTAATCCTCCACATTTCATCCATTTCTATTACAAGCCTCCTGGTGGAGCAGTCGGAACCAAACCGGCCTTAGTTGGAAACGGGTTGACTTTTGACAGGTGAATATTGGTTTTTATGGAGGAGCAAAGGTCTTTATAATTGTGAAGAGAAAATAATGCCGTTCAGAATCTAGCTGAAATGGGATCATGGACACTTCACTGAAGCAAAATCTTGAATTTTATTCTTTTATGTGCCAGTGGTGGCTACAATATCAAGACATGACCAGCTTGTTCCATTGAGCTCGTGAAATTTGAAATGGGAGGGTCAGCAGCAGTGTTTGGTGCAGCAAAATCCCTTGATCAAATCAAGCCTGTTGGAGTACAGCTGACCATTTTTTATTGTCATTTGTTTTTTAGGGACAACATGCTTGTGTCGTTGACTTGATTCGTTTTATTTTTTATCTAGTTTTTGTAATCTTTTACTTCGATTCTGAAATAACTTGTAATCATCTTCTTTTAGGGATTTAAAACTGGAAGAAAGGATCCTGATAATTGTTGTTGTTTGTGCAGGTTCATTTCATTGTTGCAGCTTGTGAGAATATATGATAAGTGGAACATGTATGAGGCCTGGAGATATTGTCACGGCATCAAATGGCAAGAAAATTGAGGTAATTTCTTGAAGGCATACATTAATTGTCAACATCTGGGGTTCCATATTAAAATATCAACTTTATTAAGATGAGTAACTCAATCCTTTATAGGTTGGTCTATGTTTTTTAGCAGACCAATTTTGAAATACGTGTACTCAATTTTTTGAGTCTTAATCGAATTGAATTCTTTGTTAGAGTTTAACGGACTCTGATACCATGTTAAGATTTGCGGTTCCATCTTAAAAAATCAAATCTTTTTAAGAGGATTAACCTAATCCTTTATGATTTTGACTATGTTTTCATCTTTATTTTATGTGTTATTTTTATCCCTTAACACTAATACGGATAACTTATAAGTCTTTGTTAAATTTTGTATATGTTAGTTTTGAACTTTCATGCTTTTGGTCAAATCTTACATGTAATCTTGCTTCTCATTCCAATTCGCCCAACTCAAGTCAAGTGTATGTAGCTGGATTAGGCCTATGTTTGAAAGTTTCGAGATTTTGTCTCATGTTGTTGAGTCATTTTGTCATCCGGCATGAGCTCTTGCATGTTGTTCAGTTACGTTGGCGATGGATCAGTTATCTGCTTTGTATTTATTATTTTGAAGCTCTAACATGTTATTTGAAGAAGCTTCTTTTCTTTTCTGCTTTGCATTTATCGTTTGTAAATGTAATTCCTCCTGTTCATGGAATTAGAAGCGAGCTGGTAGGTTGAAAGATTGAAGATAAGATTCTTTGTTCCATGCATGGTATTCTTGTATGCTTATACAGACTCTTTTAAAAACATTGAATTAACCATATTAGACGCTTACTACTGGCACACGTGTTAAAAAATGTGTTAATATAATTATTTATTAATGAATTTAATATTTTGTGAATTTAACGTATTTATTTATTTAGTAATTTATGTAGTTGTAAAACAAACAAATAAATAATTTTTAAGAATAAAAAAATAAAAAAAATGATTAAACATTATTATTTAGTGTAATGAGTTGGAGATGATTTTTAGTTTGATGCATAATGTTGCAAAACGTTGCAAAATTTACCTCAAATTTTGGTGTAGGATTCGAGATGATCTTGAAAGCTTGTTTGAAACAATTTTGTTTACAAGTTTTCATTTGAAAAATTTATAAATTGGTCAAATTTCATTTTTAATCACGTATTGCAATGGATGCAAAAGTATTATCTGCTTATTCACCATTCATTTTATCTAAAAAGAAAATTGTTTATAGATTTTTCCTAAATCAAGGCTAAATAATAGAATTGTGTTGTTGACATAAAATGTGTGAATAAAAAATAATTTGACTTTTTTTTTTGTTTGATTATAAACTGTTTAAAAAAAGAACAATGCTATTTCACCACTTCGGGTGACATGATGATATGGAAAGGGAGGGAAATTCAAAGTGAAAACAAAATCCAAATGAAGATGGATGGGCCATAATTAGAAATCAGGTCAAGCCCATATAGCACTCATAATGATAAATGAAAACAAAATCCCAAATGATGCGGGCAAACCCAATTTTTTTCGCGGTAAAAACACTGAACTCATCATCCGGAGAAGAAGCTGGAATCCATGTTCTTTGATTTTAAACCCAATTTTTGTCATGGTAACTTCACTTAGCTCATCATTCGGAGAAGAACACCAGCTGGAAGCGGAGAACACCTGCTCGAATCTATATTGTCCGATTTTATTTCGCGCAACTTCAGTGAACTCATCAAGAATACAAGAACATCAGTTGGAATCGGAGAACAACACCAGCTGGACAGAATCTGTGAAGATGGCAGAAAAGGGTAATCGTATGCATTTTTTAATTTTCTCAGACAGTGCATGAGTTGTTCAGTTATTTGGATATGGACATGGGCTAAGATTCACCTCTGTTGTTAAAGTCGTATCATTTGGGTTGGCTTATGAATTGTTTTATTTTTTTGGTTGTTTAATTTTTTGGCTGATTCCTATAGTTGATGAGAAAGACGACGAATTAGATATGACAAATTACTTTAGTGTAGTGAATGTATTTTTCAGTTCAAAGTTCAAGTGTTATGAATTTCATATGGTTTTGGCTGCCACCCTTACACGAAATAAATTGAACATTATTTCAAGTTTCAATTGTAGTTTTAGAAATGATTTCGTTGTTATCTGTTGTTTGGCATTATAATTCATTACTATGTTGTAGGGAAAGAAATCTCAGAATATGTGGATGCTGTTATTTTGGTGGAGTCCGATAACGACGCTGCTATTGAAAATATGGATTTGATGGTTGACGATATGGTAGGGGGAGATATTGCGAAGGTTCCTGAGGTGGGTATTATGTTTGATGATGAAAATAAAATGTTTGAATTTTACAAAAGATATGCGTAAGACATAGGCTTCCCAGTTAGGAAAAGGAACTCGAAAAAGGACGATGATGGAGTATTGAGATATATTACATTTGTTTATAGTCGAGAAGGTTACATAATAAGAAATAGAAGCAGTACTTTGAAGCCGCAACCAACCATTCAGAGTGAATGTAAAGCCAGGATCATTGCATCTTAAGATAGTCGCGGAGTATGGAGAATTAACACGGTACACCTCGAGCACAATCATAGCACAAGTCCTACGAAATCAAGGCTATATCGATGCAACAGAGAATTGACTGCACATGTGAAACGACGTCTTCAGGTAAACGACATCGCAAGAATTCCGTTGCACAAAAGTTATAACTCTGCTATCATTGAAGCTGGTGGGTATGAGAAGATGACTTGTATTGAACAGGATTGTCGAAACTATGTTGAACAAGCTAGGCGTTTAAGACTAGGAGAAGGAGACGCCGCAACAATTCAATCATACTTTTCGAAAATGCAAGCACGGTGCTCGGGCTTTTACTTTAGTATGGATTTGGATGAAGAGTTGCGATTAAAGAATGTTTTCTGGGCAGATAATAGGAGTAGGCAAGCATATAAGGAGTTCGGAGATATTATCACATTCGACACCACATACCTGACTAATAAATATGACATGCCTTTCGCCCCTTTTGTTGGTGTGAATCATCACGGATAATCAACACTCTTTGGATGTGGTTTGTTATCAAATGAGGATACAGATACATTTGTATGGCTATTTAGGACATGGTTAGAGTGCATGCACGGCCAAGCTCCGAATGGAATAATTACAGATCAGGACAGGGCTATGCAAAATGCAATTTATTTAGTTTTCCCGAACACGATAGATGGTGTTTGTGGCATATTTTGAAGAAATTGTCAAAAAAGTTCGGATACCACATGGATAAAGGTTCAATATTTGCAACTATTCATGGATTGGTATATAATTGTCGATTTGTTAACGAATTTGAAATAGGCTGGGTAGTGATGATCGAAAAGTATAATTTATATAATAATGCATGGTTGTCTGGGCTATACGAGAACAGAAAACGTTGGGTTCCATGTTATTTGAAAACTTCATTTTGGGTAGGGATGTCAACAACGCAACGCAGTGAAAGTATGAATGTGTTCTTCGATGGTTACGTACATTCAAAAACTACGTTGAAGCAATTTGTTGAACAATACAAACGAGCGTTGAGAAGTAAAGTGGAGAAGGAGTTTCAAGCAGATTTCAAATCTTACTCGCAAATGGTGCCCTGTACAACGAGATATGAAATTGAGAAGCAATTTCAGACAGTGTACACAATTTCGAAATTTAGAGAGGTTCAAGAAGAGTTTACGGGCAAAGTATATTGCGATCTCATATCTGCTTCGGAGGGGTTTATGGGAACGACGTATGAGGTATGTGAGGATGTCATTGCTGACGGGTTCTCTAACAAAAGAACAGTTTTCGTCTCATTTCAAAGAGAAAATTGTGAATTCACTTGTAGCTACCACCTGTTCGAATTTCGAGGGATTATTTGCAGACATAGTATTGCAGTTTTGATTCTGAAAGACGTGAAAAAAGTGCATGAACAATATATACTAAGGCGATGGCGACGAGATGTGAGTAGAGCACACTCAAGGGTTGCAGTAAACTACGACGGTTTGGTTAGTACTCCAGGACAGTTGATGTATGAAAAAAAATGTGTCTGAGTTTTGCTACGTTGGGGGACATGACTGCAGATAATGCAGTACGAGCTGGTGGTATACTTGATTTGATCGACATGCAGTGTAAACATATTATGACGTCGAAGTCAAGTTGTGGTAGTAATAGTGTGCTCCCACATATTAGGTAGACAGCCATTAGACCTGGTTAATCACAGGACAATGGAAGTGTTACCGTGCGAGATACAGAATGTACGAAAAGAAAGGGTGTACCTAGGAAACTTCGAAAGAAGAGTCTATTGGAATCACATTCAAACAAAGTTAGAGTCATTCCCAACATTTTGTTTAATAAAAGTAAAGTAATAGTGTTACTATGCTATATAAGATAATAACAAATAATGTTTTGTAGGCACCTTCAAGTTCAAATAAAGTCAAGAGACCGAAAGCCCGACCAAGTAATGTAGGAGATGTTGCGACCATCTATCAGGGTGGAAACGAATGTCATCAATTTAGGCAATAGTTACATACCTTAAGTTTGATCAATCCATCGTCAACAAATCCTATAGTGAATCCACAAGGTAAAGTAAGACGAGACCAGCTTTAATGTAGTTGCTTGACTTATTCTATTAATCTCATATTATAGTTGGTTGTTTACAGGTTGGGGTATACAATCAGTGCATGATGTAGGACCTTCCTTTACATTAGGTGTTGGCAGTGGAAGACCAACTTCAAGTTTGGAGGAGGGAAGAGAGTTTGTAATGCACCTGTAGATGTAGGACCTTCCTTCATATTAGGTGCTTAGTCTAAGGCATTTGTAGTGTAAAGTTTTTTTGTTAAGCAAAATTTAGTATGGATTTTGGATCAAGATGTTGCATCGAAGCTTCTATATATTTGTTGATACTATGTCTTCCTCTTTTGTCTTGTGTATTGAGATTTGATTTATGAAATAACGGTAGTGGGAAAAGAAGTCGTTTTTTTGTTTATGTTGCAATTCTGTTGTTTGGTTATGAATCTACTTATCCATTGACATATTATCATTTCTAATGTTTTAGGAAACCAGTGGATGCTATCAGATAGATCAGACCATTTTGTATAGTATTGACGTTATTTCAAGCATTACTGATGTTAACTTCATTGATGAGGATAGCATTACAGATGTTAACTTCATTGCCGAACTCTACTCATAATCTTCAACAATATATTTAGTTCTAAATTCATTACTGCATTTCAATGAACACATACATCACAGGAGAATTTCAGGTTCAGTTAAGTGATATTAAAACCATTGAAACAGGGCTAAGTAACTCAGCTTGGCAGTGGAATTTTTGCAATACCCATACTCGACAATTGGTATTCTCAGTAACTCAGCAGCACATTGCAATTTTGGAAAACACTGAAATAGCACTTAACAGTTTGGAAACAATGAACTGCTAACAGAAGTTAACACTCAGTACATAGTAGAATTCCAAATGAGATGATTTACAAAAGTTAAGCATCTAATTCAATCTACATTCTTAACTACGATTTCACATACTACCATTGGTTAATCACTAAGCACAAGCCAAATTTACAGTGTTCAAAATTCGATTTCCAAATTCAATCTGGGCAGACCTAACTACAATTTCATTAAACCCTCTAAATCTAGCTTGCTCTTCCACATCGTATTTTCACCATTACAGATATCTCAACTTCTTCTCCTTCATCAGTTACACGGCAACATGATTTCAACAACCCCGGTAAATCTTCAGCAATGGCGTTCACTGTATTAATGGACCTAGATACACCACTCGTTTCACCCTCTTTGACCCACTCCCAAAAGCCACAGTTCCCGCTGCAAGTGTTGAATAACCTACCTTGGTTCTTCCTTTTTTTCTCCACCTCAAAACACTTCAAGAAGCCCAGATTGCACCGTGGACAGGGGCGTCTGTTCGGACATTTCGCCAAAAAATGTCCCTTGCTTCGACAGCTATGACACACTCCGTAGTTCTTTCCTCTCATTGTTAGCTTGAATTTATGCCGTTGGAGAAGATGGGTAAATGTAGAAGGAGGGTTTAGCTGGTTGCAGCTTCGATTTAGAGGGTTTCAGAAGGGGGAAAATGGATTTGGGAAATAGGGGTTAAGCATTTCAATTAGGTTCAAATGATGGTGGGTGAAACGGGTTAAGCATTTGAGCTGGATCAGTCCAATTTTAAAATGCATTTTCAATTCAAAAATTTTCAGTCAACAATTTCAACCGCCACATCATCTGCTACGTCATCCTATCAACGCCCATGTCAAGGCCTTCTGGTAACGTAGCGCGATTGTTGAAAAAACTGAACAAAGATATGCTAAATCTATAGAGAATGAATTCTCCAAAATTTTTGAAGTTACAATATTTAATAGTTTAGTGGAAACAAGAACCTAAGATAAGTAGAATTTACTGTTTGACAGTATAGAATAAGAGCATCTTCAATAGACTATTCAAACATGATATGCTCTCTATTTTAAAGAGTCAACACTTAAAATCATATTTCAAGAGACTTTTTAAATTAATATTTTAATTTAGAGAGTGTGTTTGGCTCTCGAAATAGTCAAGCTCACTCTCTATAATTAATGCATTCAAAGTGTTTCAATTTTTAATATAAGAAAACAATAAAATAATATGAAGAAAGAGAAATGTTATTCATCCCCAATGGGGAAAAATAAAAGATAAACAAAAATAATATGTATTTTTTGGGAGTAATAAAATTAAGTGTTAAATATAAAGAGCTTGTTGAAGTATTTTAAAATTTTAACTCTCTAAATTTATAGATGCTCTCCAAATGATATATATCTTTTCTAAAAATAGAGAATTGTTTGGCGACGGTCTAATGCTAAAATGATTACTATGGAAAGCATACAATCTTGTTTCACAGTACAGAATAAAGGTAAACCATCGGCATCTCCAATGGTAAAATGATGACTATGGAAAGCATACAATCCTGTTTCACAGTACAGAATAAAGGTGAACCATCGAAGGCATATAACCTTATCGAAAGAATATAATCCAGTGACGTAAACAGCTCACTGTCGAAATCAAATAATTCAATTCTTTAGCATTAGTAGTATCAGTCTATATTCTATAAATACCCAAGAGGGGAACACGTTTCGACGTCATTAGAGCAATCTGGTTTCTCAGTCTTGCTCGCTTCATCTTCATCTTCTTCTTGTTGCTCTTCAGGTTTTAAGAAATTAAGATTTGGTGAGGTGTTTTCCTTGCAGTCACACCCCTCTGCTACAGAAGAGCAAAGCGCATGGCTTACTCCATAGCTCGGGAAACCCTTGGCTTCACTCAGCCCGGTCAAATAGACACCCCACAGGTTCTCTCTCTCTCTCTCACCTCACCGACACATACGCCCCGAGACACCATTGTAAATGCACTTTTCCAAGAATATTGCAATTTTTTTTCCCTGTGAAATAAAATTTGGCCTTTAAGAAATTTATTTATCTTCACCTTGAGAACTTGAATTTTCTGTCATTATTTAATGATTTTTCTTTGCTATACTTCTGTTAAGTTAATGGTTTTGGCCTTTTTGGTTCCGTTCAATCTTTTGTATGTGTCCTTCTCAAATTCCATTTGCTATATATGTATCTTATGTACACGAAATGAATGTTTGATAGTGTGTGCCACGAGCTGAAATTTACCTCACAACCTTAAGCTTCCACAGATCGATCAAAGAAGTTTCTCAGCTGAACCAGCTGAAATAGCAACCAAATAAAAGAAAAATTGAATGGAGATATGATAAATGATGTAAAACAAACAAGAGAGGAGGGAGAAAGCCGTCGATTCAATCAACAATTTCACTGAAATTTGGCAGAAAACAATACATACTTCCCGCTTGTACCTGGGCTGCTATGTATCCCTTCATACAGCTAAAAGTCCCATTTTCCCAACTGAAAGTGATAAAGCATAAAACAAACCTATTACAATTTATTTAGGCAAAACGGTGTCATTTTGATTTAAAGCCAAACGATGTCGTTGCAATTCCAAATTCTGTTAATTGCTGTTGGACTTCTTCTTCCTTTCAGTTCTGCTTCTTCTTGTTCCCCAATTACTCTTCACCTGACAGTGTGTTAATAAGGGGACACTAGTGGTTGTAGCATTACTAAATATGATATGGTTTTACAACAATTGAAGATCTCATTTGCTGCAATAGAGATTGATTTGGTGGAATGGAAAGGGGACATGCTTGGAGTAGGTGTCACAGAGAAGGACATGGCCAAAGATGAAAATCTGAAGTTCAAGAATTCAATCTTGCTTGAGCTAGATAAACAGTTAGGTGGATTGTTGTCAGAAGCATCATCTGAGGAGGATTTTACTGGAAAGCCCGGACAGTCGATAGTTCTCAGGCTTCCTGGACATGACTCGAAAAGGATAGGTCTATTTGGGCTTGGATCTACTACATCAGAAACTGCATCTTATCGCATTCTTGGAGAAAGGCTTGGTGAAGCAGCCAAGACTGCTAAGTCGAGAAAAATTGCCATCACTCTTTCTTCTTCTGAAGGGCTTTCTGCAGAATCAAAACTAGCCATTGCTTCAGCAATAGCCACTGGTAATTTTTTCTTTGTTTCTTCACTTTTATTTGAACTTCAAAAATCTATTTGTTGCTAAGTCGTGAACTGAATATGTTGGAATGTTCTACAACCAAAAAGGAGTTGTGCTGGGGACTTACGAAGATAATAGGTTCAAGTCAGAACCGAAGAAATCATCTCTCAAATCTGTGGAAATTCTTGGTCTTGGAACTGGATCGGAGATAGATAAGAAACTCAAATGTGCAGAGGCTGTTTGTTCTGGGATAATATTTGGAAAAGAGCTTGTAAATGCACCTGCTAATGTGCTCACCCCTGGTTAGTAATCTATCACACTGCCCAGTATCTTTTTCCTGTTACATTTTCTCATTACTATCAAAAGTTCAATAATCTGGAAATTTTTTAATGTAAGCCAGAAACTCTCTTCTTATATGTCCGTTTCAATGCTATATTTCCTTTGTTGCCTCGGTAAGGTAAAATTCATCTTATCTATTTTAATTTTGGTTTCTTGGATATATTAGGAATATTAGCAGGAGAGGCTATGAGGATTGCTTCTGAGTACAGTGATGTTTTTACTGCAACTATTTTGGATGTGGAGCAGTGCAAACAATTGAAAATGGGTTCTTATCTTGGTGTTGCTGCTGCATCTGCTAATCCTCCACATTTCATCCATTTATGTTACAAGCCTCCTGGTGGAGCAGTAAAAACCAAGCTGGCCTTAGTTGGAAAGGGGTTGACTTTTGACAGGTGAATAAAAGTTTTTATGAGGGAGCAAAGGTCTTTACTATATAATTGTGAAGAGAAAAGAATGCCCTCAGAATCCGGCTGAAATGGGGAATTTTATTCTTCTATGTTCCAGTGGTGGCTACAATATCAAGACAGGACCAGCTTGTTACATTGAGCTCATGAAATTTGACATGGGGGGATCAGCAGCAGTGTTTGGTGCAGCAAAATCCCTTGGTCAAATCAAGCCTGCTGGAGTAGAGGTTCCCCTTTTCTGGTGTCAGTTGAATTTTAGGGGCAGCATCCTCTTTTGTTGATTGATTTGTTTTCTTGTTTATCTAGTCCTCGTGGTCTTTTACTCCCATTCTGAAATATCTTGTAATTATCTTTTATTTTTTTTATTTTTTTTTTGGGTTTACAACTCGTTGATACTGATAATTGGTGATATGTTTGCGTAGGTTCATTTCATTGTTGCAGCTTGTGAGAATATGATAAGTGGAACAGGTATGAGACCTGGAGATATTGTCACGGCATCAAATGGCAAGACAATTGAGGTAATTTCTTGAAGGCATACACTAATACTGATAGCTTATAGGTCTTTTTCAGATTATGTACATGTTTGTTTTGAACATTCATGCTTTTGGTCAAAACTTTCACATAATTTTGCTTCTCTTTATATTTTGTAGACAATTTATTTGCGCAACTCGAGTTAAATGCATGTAGGTGGATTTGGTCTCAGTTTGAAAGTTTTGTGATTTTGTTTCATGTCATTGAGTCATTTTGTTTTCCTGCATAAGCTCTTGCATGTTGCTCAGTTACTCCAAAGATAGATCGGTGATCTGCTTTGCATTTACGATTTTGAAGCTTTAACATATTATTTGAAGATCTTTCTTTCCTTTTCTGCTTTGCTTTTATCATTTCTAAATGTAACTTCTCCTGTTAATGGCATTTGAAGTGAGTTGATTGGTTCAAATATAGAAGTTAAGATACTTTGTACTATCTGTGTTTTCCAGTATGCTAGTACAGACTTCTTTAAAGACATTAAACCCCTATCTGACCCATATTCTATAGAAAATTATTTTTTCTCAAATTCATTTTCAACCATACATTCTTCTAATAAACTAATTTTACACGTAAACCCAAAATTTTTTCCTGCTTTTACTACAAATTCTTGAAAAAATCACTATTACAAAATCTATTCTTTCAAAAAATGGGACTCAAACACGCCCTGAATTAACCATGTTGGACACTTACTACTAGCACATGTTAAAAAAATGTGTCCATTGAATCTCTTTGATTCACTTGGAAAGATTTTTATACTTATTCATTGGGTTTTTGAATACTTAAATGGAGGTTATTGTTCACGAAAGCACTTGATGTAACAGCTGAAATCAAAATGCCACTTTTTGGAAAGAAATGTAAACCATAGCAACTTGTCATGCATGGTTATCATCAAGTCGAAAGATTTGATGCCTGAACCCAATGTCCTTAGCAATAATACATTTAGAAGTTAAATTATAAGCAAGGATTGAATCTGATCTTTTCACCCTTCACTTTTATAGTTGTCCATATCCCTATGTTAAGTTATATATTAACCTGTGTCCTTTAATAGTAACACTTGATCAACTGCAAGAACGATGCACTGACATATAATTTACTTCATTATTGTACATAGTTTGGTTTTAATTGCATGCCTTTCAAATAGTTTATTTGAAATTTGATCGTTTAGTCTGGAAACGTCTTTGGCTCTCCTAGACATGATGCTCAACTCTCAAGTCTCAGACTAAGCCACAAATTCAATTGTTCTCCATCCTACAATAAGCATCAAAATTTACTTCTAACTTTGTCCTGTATTGCGGTTCACCGTTGGCTTAATAGATACAACTTTCTTTCTACCTGATGGAATTCCAACTATCTTTACTATATGAAATATACAATTTAATTGATCATCCTATTTCATAAGATTGATTTATCCAGGTGTTACTCTCCATTTTTATCTCAAGTTTTTTTAAATTTAAGAACACTATTTTTGTTGAAGTGTAGGTAAACAATACTGATGCTGAAGGAAGACTTACACTTGCAGATGCTTTGGTATATGCTTGTAATCAAGGTGTAGCAAAGGTACACTTAACCACATTTTCTTTGAATTTCTGTCTTTGGGGAACACCAAGTATTTTATTCTCTTTTCACTTATCCATGTACTCCAGAGACATGTTTTTTGTTCTGGAATGAGAACCTCAAATTACATTTTTTTTGTATAAGATACATAAACCTCAAATTTATACATCTATCTTTGGGGAATACAAAAAAATTACTCTATTTTCACCCATTTGTGTATTTTGTTTACATATGTTCCCAGTATGGAATGAAAACCTCAAAAGTATATGTTTTTAATGGAAGATGCATGAACTTCCAAGACCTTTAAATTCTTTACTATGTTTTACATTTTTATATCGATTTATCTTCTTTACTTTGTGTTTTTGGGTATGTAATGATCTTTTAGTTGCATGCAGATAGTTGATCTGGCTACATTGACTGGGGCCTGTGTAGTTGCTCTTGGACGCTCTATTGCGGGTATATGGTTTGACAATTTTAGTTTTTTTTATTTTTCAGTAAACTTGTGGTCTGAAAATAATGTCAAAGATCATAGCAATAGAGAATTGCATTGCGATATATTAGGACAATGAAGGATAAGAAGCAGATATGTGGAGGGAATGAGAATATGAATTCTTTTTACCTGCTTTCTTTAAGAACTACTCATTCTTGTACTTCTTTCAGCGAAGTTGAAATTCTTGAAATATTTGAACATAGAAATTCCTTGCATAGATACTTGCTTTACATTTTTTTGGGTATGGAAATCAGGTGTTTTTACACCCAGTGATGACCTGGCAGAAGAGGTACTTGCAGCCTCAGAGATCACTGGGGAGAAACTTTGGAGGATGCCTATGGAGGAAAGTTATTGGGAGTCCATGAAATCAGGAGTGGCTGACATGGTGAACACTGGTGGTCGTGCAGGTGGAGCCATCACTGCTGCTCTTTTCTTGAAGCAGGTACGGCTTTTGTTTTGCTCACACCGCCCCCCTCACCAAGCCTCCTTTTAATGATATAAATCGTGGGATCAATCTAGATCTGCACTCTATCACCACTCAGGCTGGCAAGAAATCCTATTTTTTTCTGAACTACTTTAATTGATCACTATGGAAACGGTAGATCGTCAGGATTACCACTCACTTTCACCATAATCTGTTCCCATTTATCCAAAGTCTGAACCAGGATCACATGGCAGCAGAGCTTTCCATCAATTGTTGAATGGACTGTCCTTGCTCTTTTCAATCTTCTGTACATCTTGATCCTAGCAGTAACCCCCTCCATCATAGTTGGATCACACTAGTTCTCCCCCCAAAAATTGCCCAATGTATATTCTAATGTAACAAACTAGTTTGAAACAAGATCTCCATCTCTGCGATTTTGGAGCTCAATTTACTGCCATTTTGGATGAAAGCTGCATGTTACAATGTAGAAATGGAAATTGAATACGGCAAGACTTATATTGAAGCCTCTGAAGTATGAAGCTCCCAGACTATTACCGCATATTACTGCGCAGAGATCCAATAATGAAGGGGAATGTTTCTTTGATCAAGAAAAAGATATAACCAACTCTCCTGGTGTGAGTTGAGATTAGTCAAAATGAGTACTTTAATCCTTAGATGTCAAAAAGTATCATTTTTTTCCAACTTCAAAGCGGTTATTTCGAAGTCGTAACATTGTTTAATTATTCATCTCAAAGGAAGCATTATATATAATTACAAGTATTAAGGTGATTTTCTGAAATAACCTCCTCTACTTTAAATTCAACTAGTCTAATTAGAATAAGTGTAACTAGTGTGGGAAGATCATGGTAAACACGCATTCAGACTTCGTTTAGTGCCTCTAAACGCGCCATGTTCTACCCTCTGTAAACATCTAATTTACATATACTCTTGTATTGAAACATCCACATATTGTTGAATGTGATAAATTACCCATGCATGTAAGATAAAGCGTTGGCATTACATGTTATGGTAGTTCTTTAATCCAGTATCTTTTATGTTTCACTAAAGATGATTTATAGTCTGTAGTAATTGAGATATCTGATGTGTAATTGTTTTTTCTGCAGTTTGTTGATGAGAAAGTCCAGTGGATGCACATTGACATGGCAGGCCCGGTTTGGAATGATAAGGATAAAAGCGCAACTGGATTTGGTGTTGCAACGCTTGTTGAATGGGTGCTAATCAACTCTTCTCAGTTTCAGTTTCCACAGTTCTCTTAGACGGCAATACCTGAAATATATTCCACAATAATATAGAAAAATCCTGGTGTTGCAACTCTTGTTGAATGGGTGTTAATCAACTCTTCTTAGTTTCAGTTTCCACAGTTCTCTTAGACGGCAATACCTGAAATATATTCAACGATAATATAGAAAAATCCTGGGGTGTGGAAATAAATGAATAAAGTTGGTTTTGGAATATAACGAGGCCATTGCTTGTTCTTGGCTTCTTTAATATTCTTCTTTTATCTTTGAGTTGTCCTTCAATGTGAAAATAAACGATGTGATAAAGCAAGAAATCTAAATTTTGTGCTGGTTGGAGTCTCTTGTTTTGGGATGTCATACGGCTGTGCAAATTTAGTATGGCAAAGCAAGAAGCAAGAAACAAACAGGCCAGTTTAAATTAAAGATTCGAAGCGCCTTTCTGTTGTGATGAACTATAAAACAAGTGTCTTAGAGCTCATTCTGTTCTCTATCAATCTATCATACCTAACATTTGGGAGATTGATGGCTGATGACAAGGATGGTTGATGACTGCCAAATTGACTGTAATGGTAGGAGTGGAGGAGACGATGGTAGCTGTTGGAATGCCCATCAGCCATCGACTAGTGTGTCAATATTCATGTTATTGGCTAGCATCATCCTGATTCATTCATGTTCTGTACAGCATTTAAAATTGAATTTTTATCTCTTCACATATGAGACCCTCTTTGCAGTTGGTTAGAAAATATAGGCTTAATGGTCAGTTTCATATTCAGTGCAAACTAATCTACCCAATGGTCAGTGGACAAAAAAGCTGAATTGACAGGTGAGGCATTGTATCTGGGTCGGGAAAACACAAGTGAAATTAGCTCCAGCCCTTTTTAAGTATTGGATTTGAAATCAAGCCTTGCTGAAATCAAAATGCGGTTGGTTTGCACAACTGGTAAAGAATTGGCTTGTGGCCTGGCTTCTTTTAACATTCTACTAAATTGAAGTTTAATTTATTTTTACCTAATTTACGTTTCTATTAATGTTTATTACTACTAATTTCTTTTTCCTCATCATCGAGGGTGTATTCAATAAACACACAAGAAAAATACAAGGTTCATTTGGTGTTACATTAAGGATTTGTTTGGTATGGTTACTGTGGGAATACATTTTCATCGGTAAACATAAAAATATGTTGATGTTTGGCATTATAACTCTAAACCTTTGTTTGAGCTCCATTTTTTCCATTAAAATGAATTCTTGAGCAGTGATTTGACTTTATTTCAACCGCACATTCTTTAATAAAATAATATTATACGTAAACTCAAAATTTTTTTTCCTTATTTTCTAACCACGCATTCTCCATCATAACACTATTGCAAAATGCATTTTTTGGAAGAAAAAAAAAAGAAGAAATTTTGCTCAAACAAGGACTAAAAGTACTTATATATAAAATCAAGGACTGTGGCACGTTACAAATTCTTAGAGCTGGTTTGGGATGCATTTTTAAATGGTTTTGTTTATGAGTCTCGTGTTGACAAATTAATTATAAATTGTTTATAAATTGATCAAATTTCATTTTCAATCCCACATATTCATACTCATTTTTATTGATTTATAAATTATATTGTTTATAAATTTTTCATGAAAGGAGGTTAGATAGAAATAAGTTGTGGATAAATGAATAGTATTTATAAATCTCACAAAATGTTTGAATAAAACCTTTTCTCAATAGATTATAAACAATTTATAAACACTCGACAGACTTTCATTAGATAATATTTTCAATATAAAGAATTTAGATAATTGGTTTGAGTAATTGAATTTGAAATTATCATAATGAATGCTTGTAGATGAAAAATCGTAGTGTCTGTACAAGTAGGGAACAAAGAGGAAGCATTTCTTGCTCCAGAAATATGATTTCTAGCTGAGACAAGACGTTCCACTCGAGTGAACGCTCCTCGAGCGAGATTATTTTGCTGGAGTTTATTCGAATTCATAAGTCAAAACGAAAAGCCACGATGCAAAGGTTGCTACCACGGGGAAGATTGAAAGAGAAATCTATGTATAGATTCATTCTTCTCTTTGAAGAAAGCAAGATATATATACCTATATGATATTCTCTTCTTCTTTTATACTTGTCTGCACAAATCTTGGCAATTTTTTTCGTATCTCCAAGCTTGCTTTAGTTGTGTCCTTCTGCATAATATAAAACAAGCCTTCTCTAATATTTAATTGCTTTTCCTTAGTGTTCCGGTCTCCCGGGCATATTCTTTAAGCAGAAATCATTTCTTTTTTACTGTTCCATTGTATCCTGCTTTCGTGAGTACATCAAAGTACAGAATAAAGGTAAAATGGTATTATCAAAGCATATAATCTTATCTAAAAGCATGTAATCCAGTGGCATAGCAGCGTGCTATCGAAAAAAAATAGCTCTACCTTTAACGTTAGTAGTGTCAGTCTCAATCTACTATATATACACGAGGAGGGCAAGAGCTTCGACGCCTGGATTTCCTTGCATTCACACCCCTCTGTTTCAGAAGAGCAAAGCGTATTTAAAGATGATTTGTAGTCTATAGTAACTGAGATATCTGACATGTAATTGTTTTTTCTGCATTTTGTTGATGAGAAGGTCCAACGGATGCATATTGACATGGCAAGCCCAGTTTGGAATGATAAGAATAAAAGCGCAACTGGATTTGGTGTTGTGACGCTTGTTGAATTGGTGCTATCCCACTCTTTGTTTTAATTTCCAACTAGAATATTATAATAACCTGAAATAGACTCCAGGATATTATGGAAAAATCTTGCGGGGTGTGGAATGATATGAATGAAGTTGGTTTTAGAATAAAATAAGGCCACTGATTGTTCTTGGCTTCTTTAATATTCTACCTTCACTTTTGAGTTGTCCTTCAATGTGATAATACATAATGTGATAAAACAAGAAATCTAACTTTTGTGCTGGTTGGAGCCTTGTTTGGGGATGCCATATGGCAGCAAAAATTTAGTTCACGAAGAAAAGAAACAAACTGACCAGTTAAGCAAAAAATCTAAGTATCTCTTAATTTTTTCTTGTTTAATTTCTTATCTCATGAATTCTTCTAATATGGAATATTTGTCTCAAAATCAGTTGTCCATGAGTAGATAAAAACAATAAAGTAGAAAGTAAGTGAATAGAAAATGCTATGCTCGCATATGCTCGGGGCATTTTCGAAACACCCCACATATATGGTATGCGCATGATAATATGGTTAGTCCATTTCGTTGATCGCATATGTATGCTTAAATGCATAAATGTGCACACATTTGTGTTGAAAATTGTGTCCAAATTAACCTAGTAAAGTTCGGCCCATTTTTATATCTTAAAAAAGCAAATTGAGCCCAACAAATATCAAATTGATAACAAATAATGTGATTTTTTATGTTGAGAAGTTCTTTCCCGATGCTCAAATGCAACATCATGCGATAAATGCTAAGTTGCAAAGATACATTAAAAAAAAAGTACATTTGGAATAAAACTAGCAACAAGTGGACGTGAGAACAATACTTCAAACTACAATCCTTGTATGTAAACACTATTATTCTTTTTCTTGTTAATATACTACATGTAAATATAATAACATTTATCTCTTCCTTTTGTATTTACTAATTAGTGGGTGGGACTTCTTTGGCAATGAAGCACCAAATTTGAAACTAATGGCAAAGAAGATCGTGGTTTGACTACTAGTTTATCTAGTTCTGAGAGAAATTAGAGTGTCTTTGAAGTGATGAGTACTAATTAAATAATTATATTGTTGCATTTTAGTTATTACTTTGGTAATGGTTTGATAATTTAAATTAGTATATGTGTGTTTGAGCCACATTATTTTGGAAGAATGCATTCTGAAATAGTAGATTGATGGATAATTTATAGTTGAAAAAGAAGAAAAAGTTATTGATGTGATAGAAAATATTATTTTATTGAAGAATGTGTGGTTGAAAATGAGTAGAAGAATTAAAATGAAAATTTTAATGTGTACCAAATAGGGGCTAAAATTTTCCATTTTTTTTAATGTAGGTACATACCAAGAAGAGGAAGCGCCTAGATCCCACAAAGATAAACAATCTAGTTAATGTCCAATTTAGTGCAAGGTTCATGAACAAGAGGACGGAGGATAATTAATTAGAAACTTTTATTAGCAAATAATGATAATATTGCACAATTTTGGATTGTTGATGGTTGGAATGAGGATGAAGAGGTTGCCAATAATATCTTACTATTTATAAGAAGTAGTAGAACTTTTCGAATTGAAATAAAAAAGCCCGATGAAGATAATTTTGTATCAGACGACACGAAAAATAACTTGGATAAAGAAGAGCAAATTAAATTGAAATTCGATAAACAGCTAGACTATTTAGGATTTTTTAAGTCGGTCTTTGTGTCTAATCTAATTATAGGAATTGATTACCAAATAATTGTAGTATTTATGATTTTGAGCATGTATATATATTGAAATTTGAAGAATATGTATAAAGTTCAAAAAATGCATTACTTTATTATTTATTAGTTCAAAATATTAAAAATTAAAAAAAATACATAATTACGAATATGCATGCATATGCTTGTAATACTTTGATACTCGATCGAAATGCATTATCATGCATTACATATTTTATAACTTTGCAAGCCTCAAAATCAAGACTGCATCAATTTATAAATTTTTAAAAGCATGTTTGGAAAGTGTTTTTAAATGGTTTTTTTTATAAGCAACTGGTTGACAAATTTATAAATACTAGTAGTAAACACCTGCATGTGCTCTTATGTATCGGATGAATGATATGCATAATATTTTTGAAATGCTAATAGTGTTTTTGAAAGTAGTTGAGATAATTGATATTATTAAGGAAAAATTAAAATTGTTAAAAAGAATATATATATATGAATAATTTTTTTTATGAATTATGCATATAATGTGAATGTTGAACAAATTGAAATATAATATTTTGTTGAAAGTAATACTTCTTTGTACACAATATTTTTTGTCGACGTCCCACATTTTCTCTCTTTTTGTTTTTTTGCTTTTATTAAAACTTTTATTATTTTCATTGAAACTCCACAAGAAAGTGCAACACATAATGCCAATGAGAAAACACATGTTCAGGAAGGTATATTCCAATAGTAGGCACAACTTGTTTTTTAACCTTGTTAATGGTCATTATAAAATATAAACGAATTGAAAATGATTTCTTGAATTTGAATGAATATTCTTCATCATTTGTTTGAGTCAATGGGATATGCATGGAAGGAAAACTTGTTTTCGAGCATGTTGTCCAATGATTATTTCTGCATGGATAATATGTCTCTCAAAATCACAACAAATCATTCTTATTCCATTATAAAGACTGTTGGATGGGTCCAACTTCCTCAAGAACATCATTGGACAATTTTTTTTTTCAAAATTAACTTATATGGTTGGATACCCATTTGATAATATTGTATTTATGAACTCCACTTGGTAAAATTTTTTTTGTATCATATATTACTTCATCAAAGCTAACAAATTCTTCATTTTCTCTAAAAAAATAACCTAATTAGTATGCCATTGAGGTAGTCAACATACTCATTTTTTGTTGAAAGAATATCACGTTGTGTCATATAATTAGAAGAAGCAGCATTTTCTGTTAAACCTGAGAACACTGCATTGATTAAGTGTAATTCCGAAATTTCAGCATCGTCACATGCTATAAGTATCATGAATTTTACACAACATAAATATTTAAAGAGTTAGTCTTGTAAAATTTTTTGAATATACGTTATATACTAATGACGTGAATGTAAAACATAAATTTTAGTACCAAGTCAACATATTAGTCCAACCTTTCTTCCTTTTCGCATTTTTTCTTTTTATGAAATAATTATTATTTTATAGAAAATGAATGTAACTTACTATTGTAAGGTTAATTGTAATTTAATTTTCTTTTTGTGAATTAATGTTTATTTTTAGTATGAAATGAATTTAAATTGACCAGTTTTAGAATAATAACTAATGGATATTAAAAAAATAGAAAAAACTTAATGCATGAATGTTATTAATACAAATTATAAAGATTGGATAAATGCACTATTATTTAATATTAATATTATAAGTTGTGATATTAACTTAATGCATGAAAAAGTCGAATGAGAGTATATTGAACATATCTAATATTTGATAGTAAAATTGGTATACAAAAGCTTCTGATCAATCCTTCCATTTGAAATAAGGTAATTATATTATGACCACAAAATTAATTTACTACATCACATTATAATCATGCACAATTAAAATATATTTTCAATAAATACACCACTACAAATTTAAAATTATACTCCTAATACAATAAAAAAAAATAAAAAATTTATTGTGGCGTACTCATTATCTCAATATTAATCATCATTTTTCTCATCTATAATTTCTTTATTTTTCTAAATTTTAGGCTGCAGTTGATGATAACGTGGCTTTAGAACTTTATGTTATTTACTTGTAAACTATAGTGTGGTGCAAGTTTCTCATTCATTTTTGTGGACATGGATTGTTGTTTTGGAAGGAGAAACAAGAGTTTTCTAGCATCTTTGTGGCTCTGGTATATGGTTGGACATTGTAACTTAGCCTACATAATCGCCAATGGATTGCAATCCATTTATGCCGTGTTGGAAGCATAGAACACTAATATCAGACGGTTTGATTGTAACTTAGAATTGATTTAGTTTTGAAGTTAGGGTTTGATTTGTTTTAGGGTCTCTTTCTCTTGATTACAAACATATAATTTCACCACTCTCGCTTATCCTGCAATGGAAATCCAATGAAAGATTTTATCTTTCAAAAGGAAGGCATTCTTTTATGGACAGTCGTTACTGGAGCAATACCGGCTAGAATTATATTTCTCACTTGAGAGACTAAGAAAGTGGCTTCTGTCAAGATGGTAGAACCATTCAAATTATCAAAGCCGGCCTACACAGGAAACTATAGCAAATGGAATGGCTAGGTTTGAAAGTCATCCACGACTGTAACCCGACAATTTTTCTCAACATAATGCAGATTGCACCGAAATCAGAGAGGAAAAGAAAATTATTTTCCTTCATGGAGGAACACAAAAGCTGTCTATGGAAAAGCTATGGCACAGTTATTGAGGGAAAAGAAAGAAAAAATTAGATTTCTGATTGTCGGGGAATAATAAATTATTTTATGTGATAAATGCTTCCGTTTGATTCTCATTATTCCCACATTATAATGAGAATTTGATTTTGTAATAGGAATTTTTTGGAGAATGTGTAATTAAAACAGAAGGAAATTTTTGAGTTGACATGTAATACTATTTTATTGGAGAATGTGTAATTTATAAAAAAAGAACAAATGAATTATAACTTAATGAGGGCCAAACAAGGGCATATTAAAACTCCATTTATGTAATTTTACTTTAAGACTATTTAAGTAAATAACAAAATGTTGAAATTGTGGCATGATTAACAAAATTCGTAGTGGTAATATAATTGTCCTTTTAAATATTGTAGATTATAAGCCTTTGGTTGACAAATTTATAAATTGGTCAAATTTCATTTTCGATCATAAATTTCAATGGATTGACAAGTATTCACAATCATTTTTATCTATTTATAATTAAATCGTTTATAAATTCTCCACGAACGAAGGCTAAATAAATAGAATTTTATTGTGGATTAGTAAATAGTACTTATAGATCTCACAAAATGTTTGGATAAACATATGTAATTGAAATTATCATAATGAATGCTTGTGTATGAAAAATCATAGTCTGTACAAGTAGGGAACAAATGGAGAAATAGGAAGGCATTGAAATAAGATTTTGATGTAGTTCGAAACTACAAATCAAACAATAATAAGGTGAAAACAGATTACTCTCTAAGTAACTCACGCACTTTTCTTATTTCTTGGACAACCAAAAATCTACAAATGTTTGGAGAGCTTTAAATATGAAAGAAAACAGTTAACCTACTGGGTCAACAGTCCCTAAATGGGTTGGGCTACAAAACAAAACAAATAAACATTAAAACTAACGAATTATGAAACTTAAAATGTTGTTTTGACTAGGAAGACGACGTCAAACGCCCAAAATCCATCATACGTCAAGACCAAGCGATGAGTTCAATCCGAATCGTCGCGAGCATTCCGAAATGGGGTTATGGACCCAAACCGGACACCGTATGCAAAAGTTATACCACATTCTTTGAGCGCCGGCAATCCAAGAGCGTCAA